CGCACTCCCGGCTTCCCCCGCGCGCGCGGAGCCCGGGCGGGGCGGGTGGACTCGGACCCGGAATCGCGGAGCGAGGCCCCTCCCGCCTTCTTGGCGCAGGGTATCCGGGGCGCCATGGAACCCGGTGCGGTTGTGGATGCCGTGGAGACGGGGAAGGAAGACGTAATTATGGAGGCTCTGCGCACGTACAACCGGGAGGTGAGTGGGAGCCGTGCCTGGAGGCGGTGGGCAGGGCGGGGTGCGCGCGTGGCGGACAGAGGCTGCGTGAGTGTGGGGGGAAAGACAGCGCAGCGCGGAGGGGCGCCGATTCCGCGAGGAATGTCTGGGGGGAGGGTCGGGGTGCGTGCCTAGGGCAGGTGTGTGGGGCGGAGCTCCATCCTTTCAGAGTGGTTCCTCATCCGGGGAGCTGCGCCCTGCCCCGTGTGGACCTGAGGTTCCTGAATCTCTGGGTTTCTCTGCAGAACTTCCAGAGCTTCACGTTTGATGATGCCCAACAGGAGAACAGGAAGGTGGGTGCCTACCAAGAGGTAAAGGGGCAGGGACGGGTGGCCCCTGGTGGAGGGGCCTGGTGGAGCTGCTATTTTTTCTACCCACAGAGACTGGCGGAGCTGCTAGTGTCCGTCCTGGAGCAGGGCTTGCCACCCTCCCACCGCGTCACCTGGCTGCAGAGCATCCGCATCCTGTCCAGGGACCGCAGCTGCCTGGATACTTTCACCAGCAGCCAGAGCCTGCAGGCACTCGCCCGCCACGCTGGCATCTTCATCTCCGAGGGGTCAGTTTCTGAGCCCCTAGACATGGATGTCGTGCTTGAATCCCTCAAGTGCTTGTGCAACCTTGTGCTCAGCAGCCCGGTCGCACAGATGCTGGCAGCGGAGGCCCGCCTGGTGGTGAGGCTCGCAGAGCGCGTGGGGCTGTCCGACGAGAGCAGCTTCCCACATGACGTCCAGTTCTTTGACTTGCGCCTCCTCTTCTTGCTGACGGCACTTCGCGTGGACGTGCGCCGGGAGCTGTTTCAGGAGCTGCAGGGCGTGCGCCTGCTGACCGATGCACTGGAGCGAACGCTGGGCGTGAGCCCCAAAGGGAGAGCCCCGGAGCTCCTTCCTCCTCCGGAGGCTGAGCGGGCCATGGAGGTCCTCAAGGTGCTCTTCAACATCACCTTTGACTCCGTCAAGAGGGAGGTGGACGAGGTGAGGCTGACCTGCACCGTGGGGGTGCTCGCTTAACAGCTCGGATATCGGGACCTGCCTTGCTGATGAGCACCATGAAGTTTCTGGGTGCTCGACATGGAGAGGACAGGAGGCAAGGAGGTGCCCGTTCTGGGAAAGGGCATCAAGGAAGGTTTCTGAGGGACGTGGAGTGCAGGGCTTTTGCTGCTTGGCAGGGGGGGCTACATGGTGAGAAGTTGTGGGCAAGTCCCCTCCATGAGACTGAGAGTGTGGGGCCAGGACACAGGGTGCGATGGCCTCCCAAGGGGACCCATTGCCATTCATGAGAGGGTTAGGGGGAGCAATGCCCAAGACAAGATGCAGTAGTTCCAGAGTGGGGCAGACAGTGGGACCTCAGGTGGCAGTGGTGGGGACAGGTGCGGCTCTCTGTCTCAAAAACCCCTTTTTCTTTGGTCAGGAAGATGCTGCCCTTTACCGGCACCTGGGTACCCTTCTACGACATTGTGTGATGGTCGCTGCTGCCGGGGACCGCACAGAGGAGTTCCACGGGTGAGGGTGGGGTCTGTCATCCTGGAGGGAAGTGTGTTCATCTGTCTAGACTGTGGCTCCCGGTCCCGCTGCTGGACCAGGCTCCACCTAGAGAGCCTTCGTCCGTCTGGGTGGGACCAGACGAGTGCGTTTTCAGCCAGCCTCGGCTTTTGTTGTATACTAGGATGAGAGCTGTGAGTGAGGGACAGGAGTGTGCCTTTGGCCCTTGGGTAGTGGCAGTGGATGGTCACTCGTTTTCCGTTCCCAGTGACCTGCGTTTGGGTAGCTTGTGGTTTTCCAGAAACTACCTGTGATGTTTTAGCTCAGACAGAGGGTGGTAGTTGGGGCATCTGTAGAGTGCCTCCCTCCTCAGGGACCCACCCCATTGGGCAAGCATGCCCAAGATCAGTCCCCCACTTCAGCTCTGGCCCCTGGAGCTGCTCTTAGGCTCCTGAATGCCAGCTCATGTCACGTGCAGCCTCAGCAGGGTACACCATGCATTGTGCCTGTGCTAGGAGACTGGACTTACCAAGCTTCCCTCCCCACTTGTCCCCAGCCACACAGTGAATCTCCTGGGGAACTTGCCCCTCAAGTGTCTGGACATCCTCCTCACGCTGGAGCCACATGAAGGCTCCCTGGAGTTCCTGGGAGTGAACATGGATGTGATCCGTGTCCTCCTCAGCTTCTTGGAGAGGCGTCTGAACCAGGTGGGCAGGGGGACCTGTGGTGGGGGCTGCCCAGGAGCTTGGGCTTTCCTAAGCAGCTGTGGCCACTGCCTCTGCGAAGTCTGCACTGGTCAGTGGCGATCAGCTCAGTGGTGTGATTTGAGTGATTCCTCCAGCCGCTGTGTTGTCCAGCCAGGCCCCTCATCCCTGAGCAGCACGTGGACCCTCCCACACATGCCCGAGGGTTTCACTTTTGTGGGTTACTGCAAGGAATCAAGTGTTCAGAGTCAAGTGATGTAATTGTTTTCTGGATCTCTGGTTCCTTCTTGAGTGGTCCAGAGAAGTCCCAGTCCCTGCTAGCGACCTTAGACTCGTGTCACTGTGCGCAGGCACCCCTTGGTGACCAGCATCAGCTGTCCCGTGAACCTCGGTCCAGAGGCTCCCTGATCCTGCAGCTGCAGCAGAGGATGTTAGCCAGCGGGGCCCTGGGCAGCCCCTCTGGGAGCTTGCAGACCTGTTGGCTAAATAGTGGGGACCTCTCAGAAGTTCACGTTGCCTGTGTGCACTGTGGGCTGGGTCACACACGCTGGGCATTGGGTGTTGGCTGTGATCGTCTCTTCTTATTACTATCACTGCTGGTGTTGGGATCCATGGAGGTGATGGGAGGCCGGGGAGGGACAGACGCTTCCTGCTGTCTGAAAATCGCAGAGTAGGGGTTTCCCCCGTTTCTTTGTCTGCCACTTTCTGAAGGCAGCTTGCGTGCCAGTGGTGTGCTCACAGCTACGAACACTGTCTCCCCCGCGTCCCTGTCTTACGGATGAGGAAGCTAGACTTGGGGCAGTTAAGTTACTGGTTCTCCATCACAGCATCCAAGTGGCCTCACGGATGAGGTTCCAGCACGGTCTCTCGAAACTCACACAGACACCCACTGCCCTGCTCCTGGTTCTTGGCCCCGCCGCTGGCTCGCTGCAGCAAGGCCTCGTCCTGACTGCTTCCTGCCGGACCGTGTGGCACATTGTAGCCTTCTGGCCACCGGTCAGCAGCTGGCACAGCCCCTCTGACACAGGCCCCTCTGCAGACACACAGGCTGAAGGAGAGCGTGGCACCCGTGCTGAGTGTGCTGACCGAGTGTGCCCGCCTGCACCGCCCCGCCAGGAAGTTCCTGAAGGCCCAGGTACAGCAGGGGGGATGGTGGTGAGTCCCCGCTCACCCCAGCCACTCCCGCCAAGGCTGAGGGACGCCTGCCTCCCCAGGTGCTGCCGCCACTGAGGGATGTGAAGACCCGGCCGGAAGTGGGGGAGCAGCTGCGGAACAAGCTGGTTCGCCTCATGACGCACCTGGACACCGACGTGAAGAGGGTGGCCGCAGAGTTCCTGTTCGTACTGTGCTCTGAGAGTGGTGAGTGCGAGCCAGGCTGCCGCGCGGCACCCCCTAACCCCCCGGCAGCCTGGCACGCTGACCTCTGCCCGCCCCACAGTGCCCCGTTTCATCAAGTACACGGGCTACGGCAATGCCGCCGGCCTCCTGGCTGCCCGGGGCCTCATGGCAGGCGGCCGGCCTCAGGGCCAGTACTCGGAGGACGAGGACACGGACACGGACGAGTACAAGGAAGCCAGGGACAGGTGTGTGCCCCGCAACCTTGGGCTTCCTCACTCGGCACCCGTCCCCAGCCCTTGGGGACCTGCAGGGTTGGGGGGGGGCAGCATGACAAACGGTTAAGACCTTTCAGAGTGTGGCATTTCTTGAGTGCCGTGGACCCTGACGTGAGGATGTTTCATTGAGGACAGAGGGGAAAGGGGCCCGGCCGTCTGGGGTCCCAGGTGGCAGGAGCTAGCTAACTGTTGCTCCGGGGAGTGGTCTCTTCCCGAAGTCGCTTCCCCCTTCCCACCTTCCCTGCAGGAAATGGGTTTCTTGCCAGCCTGGGCACAAGCGGGCCGATGTGGGACTGCACCACTGCAGGCAGCCCCTCCTGCTTGGAGAGCCACTAACGCGTTCTCCATGCCTCCTCTCTGGGAGCAGCATAAACCCGGTGACTGGGAGGGTGGAAGAAAAGCCACCCAACCCCATGGACGGCATGACGGAGGAGCAAAAGGAGCACGAGGCTATGAAGCTGGTGAACATGTTCGACAAGCTCTCCAGGTATGTGGCGTGGCGAGGAGGTCCGTCCTGTGCTGTCCACCCTGGGAGGTGGGGTGGGACAAGGGCTACGGGTCCTGACGAGGCTGTGTTACTTGTTTGAAATCACCTGCTGTGGAGGAAATCCCTGAGGCTAGAATCGGGGTTCAGGTCAGCACTGTGCCCATTTTGCAGATGGAAGCTGAGGCCCAGAGAAATTGAGAGACTGCCTCAAAGCCATGAGGTGTAGCAGTCAGGGTTCAGGCCTGGCTGACAGGTTCCCATGCAGACTTCCCCAGTGAGCAGAGCAGCCAGGGGCGGGCGGAGCCCAGCACACCTTT